CCATTTTCGTGTCTTATTTTTTTAGAATTTCAGGTGTCGTATCGTATCCGCGTCCTATGTTCGCACTTATGCTTCTTGGTATAAAGACAATTAAATTAGATATACATATATTAGGTATTACTATAATATAAACACCCATAGCTGCTATTTTTGCTACATAAATATCCTCTAGCACTCCCAACTTATTCTTTTCATGACAAAAGAAAAGGCCAAAGTACCATCCCATCTCCTACTTCACCCCTAAAGCCCTCTTTGTTGCGTTTCCATGTAAGATTCTCTATTTCTTCTTGCTAACACTAACAACTAGTTCAGGTTTCATGATTGCTTCCACATTGGACTATAATGGTTGAAAATTAGAGGTATTCTAGCATGACAACAAGCAAATTAGTGTTCCTTCATTGGCAGCTTCTTATTCTCCAAGTATCCACTGTCATGCTCCAATCCATGAACAGAAAGTGCATGCATTTATTCATTTCTGTACATGTGTCGTCCCACACTGTATTGGAGGAGAAATTATTGAGACTTCTCCGAATGGACACTCCTTACTTATGTAAACACGTTTTGAGCAAAACCGTGAGTATCGAGAGGAGAGTGTACGTGTAAGGCGAACAATATCTACACGGTGCAGACGGGTCGTTACATTATATATATATAATTTTTTGTTTTTTTCACTTGAAGTTCAAAATTGTGTGGGTGAGATGTTAGCTTTTGTTGTGATTGATTTTGAGGAAGACTTCTGTGGGATGTAACAAAAACTAGCCCCATATTTTTCATTGTTGATGGGATTGTGAAAGCAAAGATTAACACATAATAGTAAGAAATGTAACAAGTAGTCACCCCATTTTCGTCAATTTCCTTCTTTTACACGTTTGCAAATCTCAATAAAATTTTCATAAGCTACCCAAAACAAGCCTAGTAAAAAATTTAAAACTTCCTTTACAATCTCTACATCTCTCTACTTGTTGATTCATTCTCTCCCATTTTTTTGTCCTTCTAACAGTATATTCATTTTGTTTTTGCTCGTCTGCGGTGCGCATTGTTGATTTACTTTTTAGGATGTTCTTTCAGAATTTTTTATTTAGTGAATGAGTATTATTGGGATCAATTGAGAAAAGATAGTTTTGACAGTGGAACATATTTTCACCCATTAAAAAGTAGTGTTTGATTGCATTAGGTCCTTGACAATGTTTTTTTTTTTTTTTTTCTTGTATTTTGTTTTATATTTGTTATCTTCTGTGGATTGATCAACTTGTTGGACATTTTTGTGTGATCAACTTGTTGGACATTTTTGTGTCACTAATGTGTGCCCATAATGGGGAGAAGATGAAAGAAAGAGCACATAATAGATCAACGGTATTAATGCTTAATAACTTAGGAAAGGGCATTTTTGTCTTTTCGTTTATTACCAAAAGAGATTATTGGTGTGCCAATAACAGCTCCTAGCCTCCCTATGGTTTGATTTATTCCATGTTGAAAAATAATTCTCCATAGATTAATTTTTCTCTCCCACAACCCCATAAGTGGACCAGTAATTAGTTTCTTTGTTTTTAGTTAATATTGATCATTTTATTTAGTTAATATTGATCATTTCCATCATGTAATCTTCTAAATCATATAGAAACTGTATAATTCATCATATTTTGTTACTTGTGATATTGGTGACTTGACTCTAATAAATGTATATCAAGAACATTCTTTCGTTAGTATATTAATTAACAATATTAATATGGAAAAAAGGTGACATTTTTTATTTCTTTTTTATTCTAACCACTCATCAATATGTTTTCAATAGTTCTAAGTTATAATCGGATGAATATATATATAGCTTGAAGATACAGGAAAATTTGTTACTGGCTTATCCAATTTAGTGAACAAAATATGATGGTCAAATCTCTTATGATAAATTAACATATGGAGACTTAGTAACCACAATCAATGCTGAAGGATTAAAAATATGACATAAATTAACATATGGAGACTTAGTAAGTAGTAACCACAATCAATGCTGAATGATACAAAATTTGTACTGATTTAAAAGTAGAAGAACAATTCAAAAAAGAAAATTTAACCACTGTCCACGTTATAACACCATATGTTACCAAACAGACCCGTACCCAGTAAAGATAAGCTAATACTGTTTACCAAACAAACCCCGACACCCCCCCCCCCCCACTTTTTCCCCTATTTAAGACCACACACGCAGAAACCAGATTGAAGCAGCTTAGAGAGAGAGAGGGCAAAAACCAGAGTTCACAAACTACTTTCTGAAAGGAACCATGGCTACAACCAAGTAAACGCCTTCCCATTCTTCCCACTTTTTTACGAGTTTTTTTTTGTTTGATCTAAATAGATTTTCATTTTCTTTGTACTTTTGTAGAAATCTTGTTCTGACACTGAGTTTTTTTTTTTTGTTAGATCTTAATATGCATAAATTGATTTTGATATGTTTATTTCTACTCGAGTTCTTTACTTTGGTATGGTTTGACTCATGTTTGAATAAGTTAATATTATATATTTTCGAGTTTTTTGTGTTTGATTTCAATGTTTATAAATAGATTTTGCTTTGACTCATGTTTTGCTTAATTTGAACTTTGGTTTGGGTCTTCAGCTTATTTGTGAAATTTCAAAGAAAATCGCCATCAACACCATGTTTTGTTTGTGCTACGGCTTGAAAGATTGTCCATGATTTTTTTATTTTTTGGTTTGCTTCTTTATTTTTTGGTATGCTTTGAATGATGTTTGCTTAATGTTTAGCAATCAGTGATTGTGTAAGCATGGACATTAATATAAACCTGATTCTGTAACTGATAGCAAAATGATTTTGTTCTCCTTGGAAATTCTTAGCAAAGGCCTTATTACATGTTGTTCTTCTTTTGGTCTTAAGGGTTGGAATTGCTCCTTGTCTGTGTTTGATTTCAATGTTAATATTATATATTTTCGAGTTTTTTGTGTTTGATTTCAATGTTTATAAATAGATTTTGCTTTGACTCATGTTTGCTTAATTTGAACTTTGGTTTGGGTCTTCAGCTTATTTGTGAAATTTCAAAGAAAAGTGTCATCAACACCATGTTTTGTTTGTGCTACGGCTTGAAAGATTGTCCGTGATTTTTTTATTTTTTGGTTTGCTTTTTTATTTTTTGGTATGATTTGAATGATGTTTGCGTGATGTTTAGCAATCATTAATATAAACCTGATTCTGTAACTGATAGCAAAATGATTTTGTTCTCCTTGGAAATTCTTAGCAAAGGCCTTATTAAATGTTGTTCTTCTTTTTGTGCAAGGGTTGAAATTGCTCCTTGTCTGTGTCCCTGTTCTATTCACATGCTGCTGGCCCAAAACCCGTATAGATATTGTATGACTTGCACACACTAATCACTGCTCACGGTTTTGCTCGAAACGCTTTTATATGGTTTGGGGATGTACATTTTTTTTTTATAAGTAATGGTTTAGGGTTGTACATACAACAACCTTTTTTTTTCCCCTTTGAACTAAATTTTGTACGATCCAAAATTCAAGCACCAATTCGGTGCTACCAAATATAACATTATTTCATTCATAATTAAGTGTTGATTGGGTCTCTTATATTTGTCGTGATCGTATTGCTTCTATTTTCTCATATTATTTGATATGTTTTTCTCTGGAGTTTTATTTGTTTTTTCATATGTTGTTGAGATGGTTTTATGTCTATTGATGAGTAGTAAACCCTTAAAAAATATATTCCCCTTGTACCTATGTGAGTTTGTTTCTCTCAACTATAATATTAAAATACGAATTTAGGCATGAGTGTTTTCTTATGGAGTCATTATATTTATCAATTTTTAAGTAATATTCTACATAAACAAGTTAAATTTCTCTTAATTTTTTAGTAAACTATACACACACAAACACACGCACACACACAAAAGGGGGAAACTTGGTAATTTTAATAATATCAATTTACCTTTCTGATCTTAAACCAAAAACGAGGAAACTTCTTTGAGAGAGTGTGACCAAAACAGTCAAGGTCTAAGCACAGTATAAGCTAAAGCTAAGCATTTGCAAGAATCAAAAAACAGTCGAGGTCTAAGCACAGTATAAGCTAAAGCTAAGCATTTGCAAGAATCAAAGAGTGCTACATTTATAATAAAGACAGAATGTATTCTGCTTTTAGAGTGGTCCTGTTTTGAAGAAATTTTTACATGATACTAGACTGTATCGTCCCGGTCAATCAATGTGTTAGTTAAATCAATCTTATTCCTTTGTTTTATTTTTTATAATATGGTATTATTTTTATATCAATAATATTAATTCTTAGTTAAGATCAACAGCTGATTGGTTTTTGTACATAAATTCAATTAAGGATCACCATTATATCTAATATGAAGTTATATATTTTATATATCATATTAGTTGGATATGGATTATATTCAAACGCATGTGTAACTTTTACTAGCATTTATATATATATATATATATATATATATATATATATATTTACATTTATGTGCTTCCATAGTCATGTATCTATCAACGCAAACACAAACACACAAAAAAGGGGGGAGACTTGATAATTTTAGTAATATCAATTTACCTTTCTGATCTTAAACCAAAAAAGAGGAAACTTCTTTGGGAGAGTGTGAGACCAAAACAATCAAGTCTAAGCACAGTAAAAGTTTTATTATACAAATGTGAAATTCTGGTTCAATTTGGTATTTTTACACGTCTCAGCTTGCTGCACCTTGGTTCCAGAGAGATTAGGTTTAGGTTTTTCAGTTAAGTTGCTTAATGTTTTGTCTGTGCTATGGCTTGAAAGATTGGTTTGCTGCTTTATTTTTTGAGATTTTATAGGTTTTGATTTGCAACACATTGGTGATGTTTTATTCTTCTTTCCTTACTGTCATTTCATTTTTCACTTTGTCCAGAATAACCAACTTGATAATACTAGATGGTTAATTCTACAAAATTTTTATTTACTTTCACAATTTTTTGATGCTAACTGGGGTTTCATATTTGTGGTTAAGATTTACTCGACTTTGGAACCATGCTGGTGCACTAATCAACAAAACCAAGGAGCTTGTGTTTAGACAACATATTCAGTGCCCCAAATTTTCGGATTGTGGGAATGACTACTGGGATCATCACGGCTTATGATGTTCTATTTCATGATGATATTCAGCAAATTGTCCATGATGAAATGGCTCCTGTTATTACTGAGCTCCAAAAGACTACAGCAACTATGGAAAATCTCAAGACCCAGATGGAAATTAATGGCAAGTCCATTGATTCTGGAAATGCCACCCAACGTGAGTTACTGGGGGTGGCAAAGAGGTTTGGGGAGAAGTACTCGGAGGCAAAGAAGGCCGGTGGGAAAGACAAGGCAGAGGTCTAGAAGGGGCAACATAATTGGGCTACTCTGAGTTTTGATTATGTCTCATACAAAATAAATTTGTGAGCGATGTTGAAACATCTGGTTTTTGGCACTTTATTTCTTCTAAAGCTATCATCTTGGCACTTTATTTCTTCTGTTTATATTCATCTTCTACTTTACTCGTGTTGTGAGTGATGTTGAAACATCTGGTTTTTGGCACTTTATTTCTTCTAAAGATATTCATCTTGGCACTTTATTTCTTCTCTTTATATTCATCTTCTCCTACTTTACTCGTGTTGAAATTTGTGAGTGATGTTTAAACCTCTGGTTTTTGGCACTTTATTTCTTATTCTCTTTTATATTCATCTAGGCACTTTATTTCTTCTCTTTATATTCATCTTCTTCTACTTTACTCGTGTTGATTCTATCTTACAAAAAAAATGTACTCCTGATTTTTGTCAAAAGTCGTCATTATTTAATTGGGAGTAGAACTACACTCGATATCTAATTTATATGAAATAATGTTGTGTATGACTACTGGTCTGCAAATTTAAAAATTAATTCTAAGCAAATAAAATCATAAAATTAAAGGGCGGAAAATTATAAGAAAAAATAAATAGAAATTTTTTTTTTGAGAAAAACTACCCATTGTTTTGTCATTAAGATATTCCAAACAAATTTGTTTCAAAAAGTAAGTTCAGGTATTGAACAAACTGATCCACACGCGTCTCCCACTTTTGGTTCTACGAATGTTTGAATGGACTTAAGGAATGGGCCTATTATGTTCATGAAATACTTAGATTTAAAATTTTTGAATTTAGGCCCAAATTGGTTGGAGGGTAAAGGAAGGAAAATAAAAGAAAGGTAACGGAGTGGGGGAAAAAACAGTGTGCTTGGTATAGTTTTTTAGGGAAACAGAAGGGTTTGGAATGATACAAATTAGACATAAAATGTTAGTTTTGTAATTTTCAGAAAAGGAAAAGGAAACGGATGGAAAGACTTACAATTTTAATGAAACATTGTTAATATCAAATTTGCCCTTACTTTTATTAAAGGCAAAATCTATGAAAAGAGTATCATAATAAATTTATTTAAATAGTTTTTTTTTTTTTTTTTTTTTTTTTTTTTTCTCTCTCTCTCTCTCCAAACATGATTACTATCATTTTCTTTCTTTTCCTTCACTAATGAATCAAACACAATAAGCTGTTAACAATGTCCTCTTATTTCCTTTCTTTTCTTTCTTATCCTAACTAATGTTATATTTTCTTCTCTTTTTTCACTGTACCAAACATAGCCTTAAGGTTTCCATGCTTTAGAAAGTATTTTATGACTTTTAATAACTTTAAGAAAATTAAAGTGTGAAAACCCCATGTTCGGAGACAAGCTTTGGAAAGTATGATTCTTAAAGGTAATATGGAATCCCTTAAATTAAACTTTTGCAATCCACCATCTAAAACTAAAAAAAAAAGGTTGCATTCAACACACAAGTCGTGTCATTTAGCTTCTCCCTTTGCATGAAGCAAACCTATACTAAAAGACAAAATTTAAACATGTCAAGAAACTTCTGAAAATTTTGGAAGCTTTCATTTTTATTCAAGTATTACCAAAAAAAAAAAAAAATTTGCAATCAGAACTTTTCCTATCTTCAAATCAGAACAATATAATATCAAAAAGTAAGAAGAATTCCAAGCTAAAAGACTTGACTCGAGTTCATAACTACTAATTGTCAAAGAAATCGTGCATAACATTATATAGGAGAGAAATGAAAAGAAATAAAAGGAAAGGAAAGGAGATTGTTAACCACTTACCGTGTCATTAGTAAAAGAAAAAAAATAAAGATATTAATCATATTTAGGGAAAGAAATAAATGAAACTATTTAAATAAATTAACTATCATATCCTTTTTCATATTTCATTAAAAATGTCAGTATTTCCATTTCCTCCCATTTTTTTTAGAGGATTACAAAACTAACATTTCATGCCTAATTTGTATCCTTCCATATCCCTCCGTTTATTTTCTTTTCCTTTAAAAAATTATACCAAACACACTATTTCTTTTGCTAGGGTTGGTTCTTTTGACTTACAACTTCTTGTATTTTTTTTTTTGGGTAAATAACTAAATAAGTAAGCATATATATATATATATATATATATATCATAAATAAAATAAAGGTTAATTCCACCTACACCTCCTGACGTTTGTCTATATTTCACTTACACCCCTCTACGTTTCAAAATTCCATCTACCTCCCTTGAGGTTTTGGTCTATGCAACAAACTACGTCTTGCTGTTAAGTAACTGCCAGCATTAACAAATCAGTACAAGGTCAATTTTGCCCTTACAATACTTGAAATGACATTTTTAACCTCACTGACCATTGCAAATTTACAAAATTACCCTTAACTTATAAACTCAAAAGGACAACTGTGTCCTCATATCACCTCTGCAACCGTGCCTTCATATTGACAAACCTCTGCAAATCTCACTGATGACGGTCACCGCCATCGTACAAGCAAAAGAAATCAAAGGAAAACCAAATTGGAAGCTTCAGTGATTGGGTTGTGTTCGGTGTTGAGTGGAGGGCGGTACATAGAACAATCAAAGGAAAACCAAATTGGAAGCTTTAGTGATGACCCAACTGAACTAAAAACTCCATTAGCAACGAGCTCTAACGACCCATGCCGACCAGTTTCAATAGGAGTTCCACCACGGCAATAGGATTTTTATTTTATTTTTTATATCATCACAATCACCACCAACAACGATATTCGGTGATGCGCGACATCAGCCACCAGGGAAGGGGAATGTGTTAACTGGTATCGGGAATGGATCAACAGGCCTGTGAAACGGAATCTTGATCAACGTTCTTCGCCTTCTTTACCCCATTTTTGTCAGGAATTGGAATGGGAAGAAGCATGAAAATCCGGCTGTGTCTCCGGCAGGCAACTGGGTTTTCTGATATTGGTCTAAGAATGTGTTAACAGGTCTGTGAATGAGGGTTCGAGAGTGGGCGATGCTTCAATGGAGGGCGCCGACGAGACTGTTTGGTGGGAATGAAAAATCAAGCGTGAGGCGGACTGTGACTAGGCCAGCGGATAAGAAAGACGACGATGCTCTGAGCTTTGAATGGTCAGCAAGGGCAACGTCCTACTGGCGCTGAAGCTTGTAATTCCAACAATGCCGACGAAGTTACAGAGCTCCGGCGAGTCAATGGCCGTCTTGTACTGGGTTTCACCGAGGTGGATCGAGGAAGCTTGTAGTGTTGTCGTACTGAAGCACGTTGTTGGGTCGTTGTTTGGCCACACTTAAGCACGCTTGTAGCTTCACCGGACTAAAGCACATTGTTGGGTCGTTGTTTGGCCCCACTGAAGCACGCTTGTAGCTTCACCGGACTGAAGCACGTTGTTGGGTCGTAAGAGGGTTGAGCGGGGTAGTGGCGGTGTCTTTTTGAGATAGTGGTGGCCGTTGAAGAAGAAGACGGTGGTGGGAGGAGTCGGCGGTGACAGAAGAAAGGGACGGTGGCGGAGGAGAAAGAGATACAAAATAAATGTATAAATATTCATTTAAATGGATAATTAAAGGGCATTTTGGTCTTTGAATTTTATAAACAATCTATGTATAGATCTTCATATATAATTGATGGGTAAAACTGTAAAATTACTAAGATCCGTTAGTAGAGCAGACGGCGGTTACACATAGGGGAGGTAGGTGAAATTTTGAAACTTAGAGGGGGTGTAAGTGAAATATGATCAAAGGTCAGGGGTGTAGGTGAAATTAACCCATAAAATAAAGATGTATATACAAGTGGCAAAGGGGCATACCCATTAAAACAGTATGGGCCAATCCATACTAACTTACCAGAACAAAAACCCAAACATGGTAGCATCAACAAAATCAATGCCCAAACAAAGAGTAAAAAATCAAAACCAAAACCTGTCCAAATCCAAACAAGACGTCCACCTCCGTTTAGCCCAAAAAGTAGCCCAGGTAAACTACCACAACCCACCCATAGGCATGGGCGGGGCGGGAAGGTCCATGGGTCAGTGGTCTGGCGTTATGGCATGGTTTCCGGTGGTGGTTTTGGAGGGATGATCCTCAACGGACGGAGAAGAAATTATTTGTGCTATGTAGTTCAACGAAAGAGTTTGAAAGATATTATTCCTTAGCAATTTCTTCAGCAAATGGACAAACACACTTCTTAAAGTGAAAGGTGTAGATTCAATTCCGCGTAAAAATAAATAAATGTGTTTGAATATTTTGCTAAAGAAAAAAGAAAAAAAAAAGTGTCATGGTACATTTCAAGCTAATAATGTTAAAATTCCTCCTATAGAGGGCAAATACATTAACTTTTTGGTTGGAAGAATTTATTGTTCATGTATATTTATTGCAAAAAAGGTGGATGCTCCCAAAATTTTGTAGACAACAGCATTGAGGGCGTATTCATTATAGGCTTGACATTTATATATATATACATAACCAGTATATAAAAATCGTAACGGGCATGATGTTGAGATGAAACGAGTTTATAGGTTGAACCAACCTTGGAATCCTTCTGTCAATATAATAAATGATTAAACTTTTGCAAGTACGGATGCATGCATGCAATTCCAATAGAGGACCCCAAGAATGAGAGGTACCAAACAAATCATAGATCCCACATGATATTAACATGGGGTGTTAGTGTGGGCACACATATACAAGTGTGTGTGTATATATATATATATGTATAAAATATGATATTAGAAAAGAATAGGTTGTTAAAGGCAATTAGGCCATGTTTGGATAAGAGGAAAAAGAAAAGAAAGTATTAGTTGTGAAGAAAAAGAAAATAAAGAAATCACTGTGTAACTTATAAAGAAAAAATAGAAAAAGAAAAGATAGCATATCTTTATATCATGTTTATAAAGATTATTTAATTTGTCACTAATATCAATGGCAATGGTGAAACTTGAGTAGTTTGGCTTAGTTGAAAAAAACCATTTGTCCCGATATATCATAAAATATCACTCACTGTCTCAGTATCGATTCTTCTTAGATATAAATAATTTTTTAGGGACCACGTTTGCGAAAATGATCCGTGTGGAAGCACTTTGCACAAATCTAGTGAATTAGCCGGGACAGAGCCGTGGACACTGTGATTGCAATTTCTCTCATCATTTTTCTTCATTTTCACCCACTTTTAAAAGGATAAAAAGGTCATTGTGCAAGGGGTTAGCCAACCTCTCCTTCTGCCTCTAAACCCTTCAATCTATACTT